GTGTCCCCTCAGTGTCCCCTCTGTGTGTCCCCGTGCCCCCTGTTTCCCCCCATGTCCCCTCTGTGTCCCCTCAGTGTCCCCACATGTCCCCTCGGTGTCCCCACATCCCCTAGGTGTCCCCAAGTGTCCCCTTGGCATCCTCGTGTCCCCTCTGTGTGTCCCCTCAGTGTCCCTGTCTCCCCTCAGTGTCCCCTCAGTGTCCCCGTGTCCCCCCATGTCCCCTCTGTGTGTCCCCACATCCCCCGTGTCCCCTCACTGGGTCCCTGTGTGTCCCCGTGTCCCCTCGATGTCCCCTCAGCATGTCCCCATATGTCCCCGTGTCCCCTCCATGTGTCCCCCCGTGTCCCCTTGTCCCCTCTGTGTCCCCCCACTGTGTCCCCGTGCCCCCCATGTCCCCTTGGTGTCCCCTCAGTGTGTCCCCTTGTCCCCTCAATGTGTCCCCTCAGTGTGTCCCCATGTCCCCTCAGTGTCCCCGTGTGTCCCCTTGGCATCCCAGTGTCCCCTCTGCGTGTCCCCTCAGTGTCCCCTCTGCGTGTCCCCCATGTGTCCCCTCGGTGTCCCCTCTGCGTGTCCCCATGTGTCCCCTCGGTGTCCCCATGTGTCCCCTCAGTGTCCCCTCTGTGTGTCCCCGTGCCCCCTGTTTCCCCCCATGTCCCCTCTGTGTCCCCTCAGTGTCCCCACATGTCCCCTCGGTGTCCCCGCATCCCCTAGGTGTCCCCAAATGTCCCCTTGGCATCCTCGTGTCCCCTCTGTGTGTCCCCTCAGTGTCCCTGTGTCCCCTCGGTGTCCCCTCAGCATGTCCCCGTGTCCCCCTATGTCCCCTCTGTGTGTCCCCACATCCCCCGTGTCCCCTCACTGGGTCCCTGTGTGTCCCCGTGTCCCCTCTGTGTCCCCCTGTGTCCCTTCTGTGTGTCCCCTCCTGTGTCCCCCTCAGTGTCCCCTTGTGTCCCCTCTGTATGTCCCCTCTGTGTCCCCTCCGTGTCCCAGTGTCCCCTCAGCATGTCCCCATGTGTCCCCGTGTCCCTCTGTGTCCCCCTCATGTCCCTCTGTGTCCCCTCAGTGTCTCCTTGTGTCCCCTGTGCATGTCCCTCTGTGTCCCCTCAATGTCCCCGTGTCCCCTCTGTGTCCCCCTGTGTCCCTTCTGTGTGTCCCCATGTCCCCTCCTGTGTCCCCCTCATGTCCCTCTGTGTCCCCTTGTGTCCCCTCTGCATGTCCCGTGTGTGTCCCCTCCGTGTCCCTCTGTCCCCTCGGTGTCCCCTCAGCATGTCCCCATGTGTCCCCGTGTCCCCTCTGTGTGTCCCTGTGTCCCCCCGTGTCCCCTCAGCATGTCCCCGTGTCCCCCCAT